GCTAATGGTGCCGGTGTCATTTTAAGTGTTTGTGATGAGGAAGTTGCTCGCTACGAGACTGCTACCCTGACTGCAGCCGCTGTTCCTGCACTTCTGCTTCCACCTCCAACGACGCCTATGGATGAGCATCTCGTTGCAGGACTGCCAGCACTTGAGCCATATGCACGTTTATTTCATCGGTAAGACTAAAAGCATTTAACTTATTTTATAGGCTTTGAAACAAGGAACTCATTTTAACTTCTGTTTCTGGATTAGTTATTATGCAATTGCTAGTCCAAGTGCCACCCAGAGGCTTCTTGTTGGACTTTTAGAAGCTCCACCATCTTGGGCTCCGGATGCACTTGATGCTGCGGTACAACTAGTGGAACTTCTACGAGCAGCTGAAGATTATGCATCTGGATTGCGTGTAAGTTATAAAATCTTCCTTCAAATTATCATGAACAAGATTATGTGAGCATCAATCTGATATTTGTCCGAACACCTTAGTCACTTTTGTTCATTTCTGTGTTTTCTTCGGGGTTCTTTGTACAACTGTAAGGTTCCATATTTTAACCATCTATGCTATGTCGGAACACATGATTGAATTAATCTGTATGAATTGTATATAAACTTGTCCAAAAACTACTATGCTCTCTAGTTCTAAATGAGCATATCTGTACACAGAAAGAATTCATTGGTTGCAGTCTCAATATATAATTAATTTCAATATGTTGTATATAAACTTGTCCCAAACTACTATGCTCTCTAGTTCTAAATGAGCATATCTGTACACAGAAACAATTCATTGGTTGCAGTCTCTATATATAATCAATTTCAATATGTTGAATTGACTTAGTTGCTCTTCTCAAAGAGCTTAAGTTGTTCAAAAGGAGCACTTTTGTTTCATCACCCAATTCTGCAACATGCTCCTTCATTTGCGGGTCTGATTCTTTTTTATAAACCGAATTAATGAAAATGTTTTTATTGGTGGGTGATGGTGATAGTAGACAGGGGTCTAAATGGAGCGGCTTGAATAATAAGCTTGAATAGTAAGAATCTATACAGTGGATCCCAACTAGGTCGGGTTACATAGTTGCTGTTGTTGTTGGTGCTGGTGGTGGTACTGTTAATAGTTGAATTACTCTGGTACCATGTTGAAATATGTTAACCGTCTTATCTATAAGTGTTTAAACTGCTAGAGAGGAGATAATTTAATCATACTATGTTTGGTTCGTAACATGTGATATATGTGAGATATGAGAGAAGAGTTTGACAGAATGTGTAAGACAAGTGTCTTACTACTAGGGCTTATATAGATATGTACAAGGTGTAGTACAAGACAACAGTCCAAGTTAGCACACCTTTAACCACCTTCATTTTTTTTAGACAACTTATTATTAGAATGAAAGGGCCCCAGATATATCAAAATTGATGTTGAGGATCCATATAGCCAACCCGAACTAGTTTGGAACTGAAGCATAACTGTTGTTGTAGACTTGCAGTTTTATATTTCTGTCTCCTTGCTTTCACCTATCCTTGAAATCCGTTGCATAAGCTATGACCTCTGGAATGTTCTCCACTAAAACATATTTCTAATGAGTAAACTTATTGATTCTGTTGCTTGAGTACACCTCCTGTCCTCAATTAATGGAGGTTTATCTTTTTATGTATCTTTTCTTAGGATCTCCTGTAGAAATCCTAACATTTTATGTATTGCCAAAGCTTCCTAGGAATTGGATGCATTTGCATTTCTTGCGTGCAATTGGAATTGCCATGTCCATGAGAGCAGGAATTGCTGCAGATTCTGCAGCGGCTTTACTTTTCCGAATACTTTCTCAACCTGCTTTGCTTTTTCCTCCCTTACGGCAAGTTGAAGGAATTGAAGTTCAACATGAACATGTGGGTGCAGAAGCCACCATTGAAGCCACAGTTGAAGCCACTGCCCAAGGGATTGCATCAATGCTTTGCGCACATGGTCCAGAGGTTGAATGGAGAATATGTACCATCTGGGAAGCTGCTTATGGCTTGATTCCTTTAAGTTCATCTGCGGTTGATCTCCCTGAAATTGTAGTTGCTACCCCTCTACAACCACCCATTCTTTCATGGAACTTGTATATACCCCTCCTTAAGGTTCTAGAGTATCTTCCTCGTGGGAGTCCATCGGAAACTTGTCTCATGAAAATATTTGTTGCTACCGTTGAAGCAATTCTCCAGAGAACGTTCCCACCTGATTCCTCTAGAGAGGAAAACAGAAAAACCAGATACGTTTTTGGCTCTGCCTTCAAGAACCTTGCTGTGGCAGAATTGCGAACCATGGTTCATTCGTTGTTCTTGGAGTCATGTGCCTCGATAGAGCTTGCTTCTCGTCTTCTTTTCGTTGTCTTAACTGTATGTGTCAGCCACGAAGCAAAACCAAATGGGAATAAAAGGCCTAAAGGCGAGGATTCTCACCCACCTAGTGAAATAGGGGTAGACACACTCGCAACCGTTGGAGAAGAGAAAAAGATAGGAAGTAAGAAAGTGAAAAGACAAGGACCTGTCGCTGCATTTGATTCTTATGTTCTTGCAGCTGTCTGTGCTCTTTCTTGTGAACTTCAGCTCTTCACTTTGATTTCAAGAGGGACAAATCAGCCAGATCCGAAAATCATCATGGATGAAGCAAAACCTGCAAATGATTCATCTATTGAGTTACAAAATGGGATTCATTCTGCCGTCTGTCATACTCGGAGGATATTGGCAATTTTAGAGGCACTGTTTTCCTTGAAGCCATCTTCTGTTGGAACTTCATGGAGCTACAGCTCAAATGAGATAGTTGCTGCAGCTATGGTAGCTGCTCATATTTCTGATCTGTTTAGACGTTCCAAGGCTTGCATGCGTGCTCTTTCTATCTTGATACGGTGTAAGTGGGATAATGGAATTCATTCCAGGGCATCTTCACTATATAACCTAATTGATATTCATAGCAAAACTGTCGCATCAATTCTCAACAAGGCTGAACCATTGGAAGCTTATTTAATACATGCACCAGTACTAAAGGAGCGGCCCAGATGCTTAAATGGGAAAAAACATTATAAATACACAAGTCGTACAGCAGAACAGCCATCAGTGCCTCAGTGCAAAGACTCTGATTGTAAAGCTTCAATTGTGTGCGGAGAAGGTTCACACTCAAGTGAGGTTGCAGGGTGCACCATCAGCAAAGTGTTTGCAAATTTCTCTTTAGATGCTTCAGATTTGGCCAATTTTCTGACAAAGGACAGGCATATAGGATTTAATTGCAATGCACAAGATCTTTTAAAATCAGTGCTTGCGGAGAAACAAGAATTATGTTTTTCTGTTGTCTCATTGCTCTGGCACAAGTTAATTGCATCACCTGAAACCCAACCCAGTGCAGAAAGCACTTCTGGCCAGCAAGGATGGAGACAGGTATCTACCTTGTTACTTGTGTTAATCATTGTTAACGAATTGACTATTTTCTGTGGCAATTGTCCAATAAGAAAAATATATCATCCTCGAGTAAGATACAATGTACCTGATAAGCATATACTATGTGCAATGCGAGCTTGATATCACAGTTTAATATTTTGAAGTTGATTTTTTCATAATCCTTCTCTCTTGAAGTTTCAAATTGGTGGTTTTGTTGTTAGCTTTGGCGTCAAAAGATGTGAAACCATGTTACTTGAAGAACAAAGCACCCCCCTTAAACAACATGATTTTCCTTTTCTTTCCATGTGTGGTCCAATCCTATTTCCTTTTCCTGCAACTCTCTGTACGTGATATTAGTTTTTGCTAGGAAGAGTCCTGTTTGCTAACACTTACTCTGCTGAAAATTAGAATCTTTTAAGTGACAATCCCAACTTTACTCCCTCAAAACTTCTTTTTCTTCCGAGGAAAAATAACAATCTTCACCTCCCTCAAAGCATGTTAAGCTCATGTCAAAGGAGACGGGAATAACAGGGACTTTTCCTATTAGGTCATGGTAGCACCAATCTCTTCTTCTATTTAAATTTCTCTATGAATATGAATTTGCTATCTCACGTCGTGCACTCCATGCAGAAGCAATATGCACATTCAAAGTAGCGGTAAATACCAACAACTTTAATTAGAACTGCATGATACATGCAGCATAACAAAAAAATCATTGAACTGTCTTCAAGAGGTGGAAAATGTTATGATAGCAGAAAGTGAACGTGTTAGGTTTTGGGAGTCAAAAATGAGAAAATGTTGCTTTTACGATTATTGTGCAGTGGGTTTTTGATAGCAAGAAGAATGCCTGTAATCAAGTTAGAGCACATGATGCTTTTTGCAATGTACATTCAAATACACAAGATACTTAGTACTGATTTATATGGTGCTGACAATCGTCCATAACTACAGGTGGTCGATGCACTATGCAATGTTGTATCAGCGTCACCTGGAAAAGCTGCAACAGCCATTGTTCTTCAGGTCCAGATTTCGCTTTAACTGTATTTGGTCAAAATAGATCATGAACCTTTTTTTGTTAGGCTGCTGCTATTGTGCAAAGTTTCTATTTATTAGGATCCAAAGGGCTAACAGATACACATGCTTTTAAAAAAATTCAAATTTATGTTTAGGGAAAAGGGACAAAATTGTCCTTGCACTATTCGTAGTTGAGCAACTTTGCCCTCTGTTAAACTTTTGGTTTAACATTACCCGTTCCGTTAGGAAAAAGTATCATTTTTGCCCTTGACCCCTAATGTAGCTCCAACCTGAGAGTAATTTTAAACCATAGTCAAAAGATGGGTAAATTTAGACCTTTTATTTCCAGAATTTGGACATGTGGAATCCAACCATTTCGCTTTGGAGCTCCATTAATGGAAAGGGAAAAGACGAGACGATTTGATAAGAGTAAGGGAATAAATGGACCAAAAGCGTAATAGAGGACAAAATTGAGCAATCTTGAATAGTACGGGGGAAAATTTGCACCTTTTCCCTTTTCTCTATCATATTTTCGGCCTTGTACACATGACAAATACATCTTTTTTACGACAATGGGTACAGCACTTGTCTGGGTCCGAAGCTTATTCAACTTGCATGCTAATAGTTATCATAACTTGCTTCTAGGTGTATTTAGGTCTTCATCACCATATTTGTTTAGTCACTTCATCATAACTTGCTTCTAGGTGTATTTAGGTCTTCATCACCATATTTGTTTAGTCACTTTCTTGCCAAACTTTACTTGTCAGGCTGACAGGGAATTGCAACCATGGATTGCTAAAGATGATGATCTTGGTCAGCAGATGTGGAGAATCAACCAACGTATAGTAAAGTTGATAGCAGAACTAATAAGGAATCATGATATAGCAGAATCTTTGGTTATTCTGGCTAGTGCCCCAGACCTCCTTTTACGGGCCACAGATGGGATGCTTGTCGATGGAGAAGCATGCACCTTACCGCAACTGGAGGTAATGACATCTATAATTTCTGGTTTAGGTAACTTTTATAGTGGTTCTCATTTCCCACTGTGATGAATCTATGATTCAGAAAGCTAAGACTTCCTATATGTTCGTGACTACTTGAATAATAATTGATTCATCATACTCCTTATCTTTTGCATATTTTGATGTATTTACATCCTTGCTCTTAAAAATATTTGAGCAGCTTCTGGAAGTGACAGCTAGAGCAATTCAACCAGTGCTTGACTGGGGAGAATCCGGACAGGCAGTTGCTGATGGCCTCACAAACCTCCTGAAGGTGATACTCTTTGCTCGAATTGGGGAACAATAGAAGTGAAAAATGACCTTGTCTTCTTTGAATTTTACTTTAGCACTTAAATGATGAGACACATTTTGGGTTACAACACTGACAGATTCATTTCATTAAATACATTGCAGTGTCGCTTAACAGCCACAGTTCGCTGTGTTTCTCATCCAAGTGCACACGTCCGTGCTCTCAGCACATCGGTTCTTCGTGCCATTATGTATGCTGGTTCAGTAAGATCTTCAAGTGCTAAACAAGCAGATGTAAATGGTTTCCACAGTCCTGCTTATCAGTACCTAAGCATAAGCATCATTGACTGGAAAGCGGATATTGAGAAATGTTTGATGTGGGAAGCAAATAGTCGGCTTGAAAATGGGATGTCTGCTCAATTTCTTGATACTGCTGCTAGGGAATTAGGCTGTACTATATCAATCTGAAAATTCACTATTCTGGGGCCTATATTAGGTTTCTCTGTACTTATCTTGGTAAAGTCACTTTTTGTTGGCTTGAGGATGAGGAAAGGACAGAATGCAAATGATATGTAGTTAGAAAATGATATTTAAAGAGTCCTTTCGGCCATCCACCGTTGGTGTACAATGGAATGTAGATAGTCCTCCTCCATTTTTATGTTTGTTGTATGTCCAGAAACGAACATGTTTGTGAAAGAAGTAGATGTAACAGTGTATATTCGAGTGACTTACAAAAGGCTGGCTCAGCTTTAGAATTTTTCCTCGAGTCGCCTCCATGTAATAACACTTTGTTGTACATTCAGCAAGTAAATGATATTTGGAGTTTTTGTTTTTATTCTCCTCTCATTTCCTTTTTTTATCTGGTTTCTGATTTAGATAACTAATGGCTGTGTAAATGGCCTCGCAATCTGCTCATAGTAAGGAAAAGGGATTAACTAATGGTGGCAGTTAAGCAGATCAACATGTTTTCGTGGGTGTCACCTTCTTCCATTTTTAGATGGCATAGGAGGCTCAAATAAGGTTTATGATTACGCAAAATACAAGTTATATGGTTAATGCCAAGCAATCATAAAACTACGGTCTATAGCCACTCAAAATTTTAATAGCTCATTTTTTTTTGCCCATTGACAGAAAAATGGCCATTCGGTCCAAACATATTACATCTAATAGTCCGAAATGTCTATTTTGTATATTTTTTGTATAGGGATAATCTATTTTGTAAATTTGTTGCATAGTGACAGTCTATTTTGTATAATGAAAGTCTATTTTGTATAAATTTTTGTATAGTTACAATCTATTTAGTATATATTTTGTATAGTGACAGTCTATTTTGTATAGTGACAGTCTATTGTATAAAATTGTATAATGACAGTCTATTTTGTATATTTTTGTATAGTGACAGTCTATTTTGTATATATTTTATATAGTGACAGTTTATTTAGTATATTTTTTGTATAATGAAAGTCTATTTTGTATAAATTTTTGTATAGTTACAATCTATTTAGTATATATTTTGTATAGTGACAGTCTATTTTGTATAGTGACCTTCTATTATATAAAATTGTATAATGACAGTCTATTTTGTATATATTTTATATAGTGACAGTTTATTTAGTATATTTTTTGTATAATGAAAGTCTATTTGTATATTTTTTGTGTATATTTTGTATAGTGAAGACTATGCATGAGATACAAAATTAAAGAGAATTAAGACCTAAAGTTAGACTATGCATTAGTTTCCGCCATCTTTGTTTCTCCCGCAAAATGCAATAAATCAAAAGCCTTCAGCTCCATTACCGCTGCTATGGCCACAACAACACAAAGAAACCTCTCAATTTTCTACACTAGAAGACACTTCACCGTCGTCGGAGCCAAAGTCACCAGAATGAGGTCTCCGCCAACATCGACGATTGGAAACTTACTCGTCGTCACTTTAATTACAAAAGCTTTGACAGCACCAGGGGGAACACGTAACATAGAAAAATACAATGGTTTAGTTCCCCTATCAGAAACCCTAGTCCCCCAAATCCTCCTGGCTTTAGGTATGTATAATACGACGATATTGAAGATCTCAAATTCCTGCTTCTTATCTTAGATTTCATTTTTCTATTTTGGAACTTGAGTTGGAATTGGAGAAGAGGGGTTTTTGGATGAAGGACGGAAGTGTGTAAAGATGGGGTTTGAAATATAAGGAAAACTGTGTTTCGGTGATAGTTGGGTCGGTGGCTAGCCTTTTAATTAGTTTTGGGCTATAAAATGCATACTGTAATTTTGTGGCTAGTGGGTGATATTAGTTTCTAGCGGCTAGTCATAAATGAAGTTTGGTCATCATTTGGGATTTTTACGTTCCTATACACTATTTGAAACTTTTTACAAAAATTGTTCATGTTTTGTTATTTATCCGACCTACACAAGTTTTATCTACAAAATATATACATTCCACCTTAAAAGACTCTCAATCCATTATTTGTGCCTTCAATCAAGGTATTTAGTTACACCCTTTTCCTTTTTCCCCCCCTCTTTCCCCTTTTATATCCAGATCTTCCACCCTTGCAGCAATTTAAGCCAACTACTGTATCCCTTGATTTTAGTTTCCAGCATTTTTTAAGTCTATCAAATGTGGCTGCGACTCTAATCATATCATAGAAAATATATTTTCTCCTTTTCTTTTTCACTTTAAAAAAAATGTGTTCACATCGCCACTGTTTCAGAGACGCGTTGTTTCAACATAACTTGAAAAAAAAAATTAAAGAATTATATATATGTTTTAAACTAAAAATAATTGATAGACATATAATATATAATTAGTACATAATTTACATATATTGACTAAAAAAAGCAAAGTGTGAATTTAAGTGACTATTTTTGTAATAATCCCTTGAATAAACAGTCCACATCATCCCAAGAAAAAATAAACAGACCACATATGTGATGACCCAAAAGGTCATCACTTATTTTAGAAATAAATTCTGTGTTTCGAGGCTTTAAAAAAATATCTTTCAGTATCATCTCGATTTGCGTGCGCACCCGGAAAGCTATTATGTGATAATATGTGAAAAATAATAAATTTTGCCTTTAAAATGAACTTAAGTTGACTTCGGCCAATATTTTGAGTAAACGGACCGGACTCGTGATTTGACGGTCCCGGAGAGTTCGTAGGAAAATATGAGACTTGGGCATATGCCCGGAATCGAATTCCGAGGTCCCAAGCCCGAGAAATGAATTTTTGAAGAAAATTATTTTCTGGAAAATTCATGAGTTTTTAGAAATGAAAAATATTTGGAAGTTGTTGGTATCGGGCCCATATTTTGGTTCCGGAGCCCGGTATATGTCTTACATGTGGTTTAAGTTGAGTCTGTGAAAGTTGGTAAGAAACGGAAGTCGTTTGATGTGATTCGAATATGTAATTGTAAAAATTGATACTTTGAAAGTTTTGAGGTTTTTCTTAGATTTCTATGCTAAATTCATTGTTAAAGATGTTATTTTGGCGATTTGATCGCACAGATAAGTTCATATGATATTTTTGAGTTAGTATGCATGTTTGGTTTGGAGCCCCGAGGGCTCGGGTGAGTTTCTGATAGGTTTCGGAAGTTTTTAAAACATAGAAAAAGTTGCAGGTTTTCAGTTCTGGTGTGTTGGTCTTCGCGTTTGCAGAAGGACTCTCGCGAACGCGAAGGGTAAGTCAGGCTGAAGGAATTTTCCTTCTACGCGAACGCAAGACACAGGATGCGAACGCGAGACACAGGATGCGAACGCGAAGCTTTGGGAGTGTTTCCCTTCGCGAACACGGACCTGCTATCGCGAACGCGAAGGCCTTTGGGCCTGGGCAGGGAATAAGGATTTTACTCTATGCGAAAGCAAAGGCTCTGGGGGTTGAAGCTCCGCGAACGCGAGCCTGTTATCGCGAACGCGATGGCCAATTGGGCCTGACCCATCGCGAACGCGACAGACTCATCGCGAACGCGATGAAGGTCTGCCCAGTGATTTTAAAACAGAAGCAAAAAACGGGCAGAACCCATTTACTTCATATTTTCAAAATTTGGGAGCATTAAGGCGCTTTTCAAAGAGCAATTTCTTCCCCAAAATATTGGTAAATGATTCTAAACCTTTTTCTTTCGATTTCCATTGCATTTCATCAATTTTCATCCAAAAATCTAGGGTTCTTATGGTAAAAACTAGGAATTTGGGTAGAGTTAGGGCTTTTTGATTAATTGAGATTTAGACCTCGTTTTGGGGTCGAATTTCGAAACTAATTGCATATTTGGGCTCGTGGGTGAATGGGCGATCGAGTTTTGGTCCGAACCTCGAGTTTTGACCTAGCGAGCCCGGTGTCAATTTTTGACTTTCTGGGGAAAATGATAGAAAACCTATAATTAAGCATTGGGTATGAATTCTTTAGCATTTATTGATGTTGTTGAATCAATTTGGACTAGATACGAGTAGTTTGGAGGCGAATTCTAAAGGAAAATCGGTGTTTGAGGCTTGAGTTGGTCGTGGAAGTTCGAGGTAAGTGTTTGGTCTAACCTTAGCTTGAGGGATTTGGAGTTGTGTCCTATTTGCTACGTGTTACTTGTTGTGTACGACGTATAGGCATGGTGGCGAGTGTCTCTACGTTGGTGTCAAGCATGACTGTGAGTCTTAAATTGAAATTGTTGTTTTCTTAATAAGTACTACGAATGCCTAAGTTGTTGATTCTCTGTGTTGAGCAAGGATTATGATTGTTCTCGTGGAAATTGCTTATGGTTGGGTATTGGTGCTAGTTGAGGTTTTTTTGTGAAGTTAGATATTGGAACAAGTTTGGTTATAGCTGATTTACCCTTGCCGGGACGCATTTACTTATACTGTCGATTCCCTTGTCGGGATAGGGTTGTTTTCTTTATTGTTCCCTTGCCGGGATTCTCTTTGTGATTGGTGTTGAACTGTATATGTGGATCGGGTTGCACGCCACAATAATATTATATTTCGATTGGGTTGCACGCCGCAACAACATTATGTTTGGATCGGGTTGCATGCCGCAACAATAATATAATTGGATCGGGTTGCATGCCGCAACAATAATATAATTGGATCGGGTTGCACGCCGCAACAGTGATAAATGATGATTGGGTTGCACGCAGCAACAATGTATTTATAATTTGGATCGGATTGCGCGCCGCAACAATAGATAATAAAAGTGTTTATTGATTGATAACGATTTCCTTATTCTTTTGCTGTGAATTTTAATAGTTTTTATGATTTTTTCTCAAATTACTGTTGGTAAATGATATTCCCCGCAGCATTGTCCCTTCTATCTTTAATTGTCTATTTCTGTTTATTTTCCGCTGTATATGATATAACTGCACAGGTTTATTTAGTAGTCTGGTCCTAGCCTCGTCACTACTTCGTCGGGGTTAGGCCAGACACTTACCAACATATGGGGTCGGTTATGCTGATACTACACTCTGCACTATATGCAGATCCCAGAGCGGAAGCTTTTGGACCATAGCTTTGGGTGGCTGTCTTCAGTCCAGTCGGAGATTCCGAGGTAGTCCTGTAGGCATCCGCAGGCCCTGGCGTTCTCCTCTATCTTTATATTCTATTTTCATTTACTTCGGAGACAGATTGTATCTTTCTTTCCAGACAATTGTTTGTAGTATTCGTAGATGGTCTGTGATATTGTGACACCGGTTTCGGGTAGAGATGTACTTGGTATTGTCGTACTTGTTTTTGGCTAAGTTATCATATTATGTCTTCCACATGTCTTCATTATTTGTTAATATATCACTGTTAATCGTATGTTGTTTTAAACTGTTAAAAAGGGCTTAATAAAAAAGTTAGTGAATCTATAATACTCGG